TAGGGCGTAACAGTCTGAACATTTATCCTAATAGTCTAATCCTCGCACTATACTTGAACATCCATGACAATGACTTTAAACGCATGACCATATAGAAGACCTTGAAGGAAAAAACTCGACTCGGGGATAAAGACAACATATGCCTATGTGGTAGAATCCAGATGACATCAACTCATGGAACTCGAAAAGGAAGTACAATCTTGTCAAATCTGAATTCGAACTATGTGAGGATGAATTTGATACTCATTGGAAATCAGCGAGTAGCCTCTTTTATTCGTACAATTCTAGGTTGACTGCTCTTCCTACTTTATTTCAATGGAACATCGATGCCGTATGGATTACTAGGACACTTTTGAAAGATGATATTAATTTTCGGAGAGTTACAATTGGTGATGTTCGTTTGGATCGACGAATATACAAGTGGTTTAGAACGTCCATGACTAGATACAAATTTCACTGTGACGTGATCTACCATGGCAATGATAATTGTCTTAGTAGTTGATATGAGAAACTACTGCTTTAGATACCGAAAAGAAGTGATATAAGTGTGGGTGGAAGTCGTGACTTGAAATACACCCAGTGACTAATTCATCAGAGATCAATACATGTTAGACGCATTATTGTGACCACTTGACAAGATATTTAAATGTCTTCAACTTTTGCCTGAAAAATTGGGCATGCCTGTCGAATATTTTATTGTATACTTCTGAAATTCAATGCACTATTTCTCGTCAAGTGATAAGGATTGTCAAGAATTTTAACCACTTTGGATAGGATTAACTTGATCAACGATGTTAGACAACCATGGGAAAATTAGAGTGAATTGTAGAGACGAATGTAAATGCATCTCCAAATCTATTTGGCCTCGTTTAGTGCTCCGTCTCTCGTATATAGACCAGACTTTCTACTCGACCCAACATTCCAGTCGGTGAAGAGCACATTGAGAAAACTAGTGCAATATTATTCTAAATTGCATATCAGTAAGACAGCTGGCTGCAGACTTCTGAATTAAGAAAATAAACTATGGAGTAATAGTTTGGACGTTGAAAACAATGCACTTTGGAGAGTTAACTTATTTTGGAAACGTACGAGATGTATTTCAGTGTGATGTCGTTAACTATTTTCCGTTTCTTTTTACTACCCACAGGTTCAAGGTAGCGTCTCAAGTAATTAGCTTTATTGTCCTTCGAAGGGTTGTTTGTAGTCATTTGAAGTTTTGGGAATCATTGGCCTTGAGGTACAAAAGCATTCCGAGATTTTCAAAAAGGACAGTGCTATTTTTCCTCTGAGTATATTTTATATTATTGATGTTACGCACCAAGACTACAGTTTTTGTTTTAATTTAATTTAATTCAGTTAAAGTAATCCCCAAGAGTACCTCCTTTTTATCCAGAGATGTTTATCATGTCTACTCTAGGAGGACGGATTTAAATAACTAAGCGCAATGGTATTTATTATTTTTGGTTGAGTATATCATTGGGTGTTGTTTGTATCCATAGGTGTTAAGGTCTTTCGTAGCTACAAAAGTTGACTTTTTTCATTGTCGTTAAGCACATTGTTTTATATATAAACATAAAACAAATCCATGACACAAATGAAACCCCGTTGTGGCAGGCCGGCATACTACTCCCCTGTCACTGATGAGATGTTATGTGATATCCGCCATAGTGGTATCACACTGTGTCCAACAGACGCACACCGGCCGCACATAAACGGTGCTACAAGCCATTATTATATTGGTTGTGCAAACAATGACTGATACTTGGTGAGTCAAGCGGACAAAACGTTCAAGCACTGAAGTCCTTTGACAAGAGACCAAACGCTCATGTAAAACTAGTTGTAACTTCACAATAACATGCGGGGAGGAGATCTGGTTGTTCTAACTGTTCGTCACCTGTGATATTGAAAAGTCGCACTACAAAATTAGTATCTAATTTTTTGAAGATTATTGAATGTAGAGGAATTTCTGAATTTGCACTTATCGTAGATGTGATATCAAGTGTGTCAGATATTTAATTCAAAGAGGCACTATGTAATAGAGTCTGAAGGCTTCGAGTAACGTTGGTAAAGATAACGCTTTAAATATCTTGTTTTCAATCACTTGGTTGTAGTACCCTGTTGATAAATCAGTTTTCACCTGTAGGGACAAGATAATTCCAACTACAGATAATAACCGATCCGTTCAACTAGTTTAGCGTTACTTACTTAGGCCTGTTCTCCCAGTTGAGGAAGAAAGGCCACACACCAGCGCTCCCCATCCAACGCTCTCGTGAGCAGCTATTCCCAGCTGCTATTCATTCTTTCCATGTCTTCTTCCAATCAACCGAGCCGTGTGTTCTTCGGCCTTCCACTTTTCTGTTAACCTTTTGGATTCCAAATTAGCGCTTGCCTTTTCATGCAATTTGGTGGTTTCCTCAATGTTTGTCCTAACCATTTCTATCATCTCTTACCAATTTCTCCCTCGTCTGGAAGCCGGTTTTTCCTAACTCACACAGTAATCTGGCATTTGCGGAATGACATCATGCTTATTGTTCTTGCGCTTTATTCTCCTGACTGTGTTGTAAACTGTCACTAGCTGATTATTTACTATAAAACTGTCATGCAATCCCATCACTTCAAATCTTCTTACACGACGATGACAGGACGTTATGTCTGGAGTGACTTTCGTGCTGTTTTATGCAATTATTCAGCTAATATCAGTAACATATCGATCACTATTTTTGTATGTGTAAGACAAATTATTAGACTCCTTGGTTTTCGAAATTTTGGATCTTGGCTCAACATGACGTCACGTATTGTTTGCATGGTCACAGCACACTATACAACTTAAAGTTACTCGTTTGTTTTCCCACATATTTCTCCTGATAAGACAATTTCACATTAGTATTTCCGACTAAATAAACTTCTCTATGAAAATATGCAGTACTACGAGGTTTCTACACATTTTCTTCATACAAAAGCTTGATGAAAACAATCAAGCACTATTATATCACGTGGGTGATCAAACAGTAACATCTCTAATACATAGATCATGTGCAAGCCCATTAATAACAATAAATTGGACCGAACTCAATGAGTTCAAAATTGTTTGTCTACTTGTGTTCTGAGAAATTTCGAAATCCGAACATCATGTTCACCATGATTCAGTAAATTTCGACTTACAATCTGTTTGAGCAGACAGTATATTTTCATATCTATTCATCGACATACAATATTTTTGTTTAGCTATCATTCCTTTATAATTGCAGTGCACATATTTATTGAGTATAAGTGATTTTCGTTGGTACATGTGAACTGAAGTTTCACACAGATGACACTCAGATTTCCTCAACTAGGATTTCATCCAATTCATGTTTAATTTCAAACGCTATTCATGCGAATTTATGAAATAACACTTACCATAAATAAACATGAGGAATCAAGTCAAATGGATGTGCATGAAAAAGACAGATTTTCGCAAATCTTTCAAAAGCTGCTATCAGACTAAGTAACTAGCACAAACTTGATACAAGAACAACATGATTAAGACGTTGGTGAATCAGTTTATTGAGTAAAACAATAAATTTTCAGAATTCTGCTCTCCAACGACACATAGAATAATGTTTGGAGGTAATTTTAGAAAACATCTACTTTAAACACAGTTTGTTTCAATATCGAGTACATGTTGAAAGGTGAGTAATTTGTCTAATATTTTTTTCAGTAGGATTTGTTTCATGTGTATCAAGTCAATTGTTTTTAGACTCTTCCCATAAATCTGAGTTCTGCATGTACAAGTTCTAGTTCATCATGGAAATTGGATGTGATTGCTGAGTTTCTTTAGCTTATTTGTTAATAGTACCGATAATCACGTTTATTGTGAAGGCAATAAATCTTAGTCAAGCATAAAATTTTACTTTATTCAGAGTATCCTGCATACAAATACGATTTTATAACTACTATTACACCCACCATTAAGAAATATGAAGAACAAAATCAAATGGATGTACTGGAACGAGAGTGATTTTCATAAATGACAACAACAACTGTGATTGAACAGATTAGGAGGAATGAAGTTGAATGAGAAAACAAACAAACGAACGTCTATCCACGAAAATGATTTTCCAATGGCTCAATATATAAACAAACAAACAAACTCTTCAATCCATGCAATTCGAATACATTAAGGACGAAAAAACAAAGAGGCAGATTTAATTTACACGAACAAAGTATTGTAGAGAGCATTACAACGGATAAAATTACCCACTCTTCCTCTTCGTCTGTATGAACTTGCAATAACTATCAAACGCCACGATCAGTATTCGCTGATATAAATGAAAGTCGACAGATTCTGACACTTGTTCAACTTGCTAAAAGTTGATATGTTAGACAGAACATGAACAAGAATGATTAGTGAATCTTCAGAAAGCTGGCAATCACTTCAATTAGTAGTCACTGAACATAATGAAATTAGTAAAATTTATCAAACAGAAGCGTCATGAGGGTGAAATCAGACTCAAAGTGAGACAAAAGAAAGTGAAGGTCAACGACAAAGAAGGAATATCTAGTTTGAAAGCTGCTGTATGTTACTAATAAGAGAGGAAGCTTTCTTTGCGTACTTATAGTCGAAATTGATTCGTTTAATGGTGTCTAGCGGACAGATGGAAACTATGCATCTCAAATGGTGTCAGACAAACAGAAACAATCACTGGAATGTAAGTCATTTCTCATGATCACGACACGTGTGTACTAGAAAAATACGATTGTTGAACAAATCATTTCAGTCAATTTGTTTTGTTTTAATTTGGAGTAGGATCAAAATTTGTTTTGACGTTTGTTTGCAATTTATACGGATAAATTTAATTCAAAAATTTAATCCAACAGGCAAACATCCATATAACAGAACATCTAACATAGATAGCAGAATAGTTTAAAATGATCTTTAAAATATTTCACATGAATATCTGTAAATTAATTAAAACACTCAATGGAGTAGCATCTTATCATCGTTTCCAATCATTATCTCACTGACTGTACCCACTGCTGGAATCACAATGCAGGATTGAATATAGAGAAAACTGTAAAAAGACATTAAATATGAAGTATTCATAAAACAATGCGAACATAATGAAGATTTCAGAAAGCTGTTCTTGTTCATGGTGTGTGTCCAGATAGTATGTTGTGAACATAACAACCTGTATTAATGAAAATGTAGATGATTACTTCATTATCTATGCGTTCATATCAACAAATGTAGCATTGAAACAATATGCATTTACAGATATAAGGTTATCAACATAGTAATTTCTCAACATTGATACATAACAAATGAAGGATAAATGCCATGGGCCAAGGAAATGAGTAAAACGGTAAATATTTCATCACTCAATATCTCCCTATCTGCCGTTCAGCTTCCCAATTCGCAATATTTTCTCAGAAATGTTTCAGGATGAATGGTGATGGATGCTGTGAATAGAAAATACTAATGCTCCAAAGTTCCAATTTTTACAGAACACTAACTTTGAATGCATAATAATAGACGGACGGTTATTTGTATTAACATTTAATCATTTATTCGGGACTTACGATTAACGTTTCGCAGCACCAACAAATCCAAGCTAAACCTTGTAAGACATTCTAAAATTAAGGGAAAGAAAACAATTCACCTCAATTCATTATGAATCGATTTAAGTATCAGCGGAGAAACAGTATTACTCCACTAATTAACTCTACCGATTTTAAACTAATATGAAGCACTTCATATAAAAGACAGGTCAGTTTGTTGTTCTTAATTCATAGATCATGTACCCATTCAGTCTCATGCTAGACAGTTGTCTAGATAACGAATTAGTTTTGTCAAAGACTGTATCGTAAAACATTCAAGCTACCGATTCCACGAATGTGAAATCATCATGATCGACCAAGAATTAAGGAACGAAAACTTGTGAAGACCTACCACTCTATCAATTAAAACAATAATAATCAATATTCACTACAATTTTGTGAAAAACTATGAATATATCAACTTACGGTTCTAAATATCACCCCTAAAGCAAAGAGAATGAATCCAGTTCCTGCAAATACACAACATATCGTAAACAAGAGTATCCTCCATTTTCGTTCTGAACCTTGCAGCTGTTCACCCCATAAAATGGCTAAACTGGCGAAGACGGTAGCCATAGGTAAAGAAATAATTATTTCGTACCATTTTGCAAATGAAATTAATAGTGCAAATCCAACAATCATAATTATCATCTGAATAGGGAAATAGTAGTGTCAAGTTACCATTAGTTGAAAAGTTGTACCGGTCATCAACTGGACAAATAACGAAATAATATTCTTTCCTGTCTTGCATTTTACTGAAGTGCTTGAAAATCAATATTTATCGATACAAGCATACAACAGAGTAACCCTGTTTAAATCTGTCACAATGACAAACGTAAAATATTTTCAAGCTAATTAACTCATCCAGTAAATGTTACCATGTTATGTGAGAATTCTCACATAATTGGTGTTAATTATACCAACTTGGGTAAACCAAGAACTACGAACGCTAGTAATGGAAAAAGTATTGTAAAATAATTATTCTTTCAGAAGTTATAAGAATAATCTTTACTGTCCTGCATTCGATTGAAATGCTTAGAAATGAATATATATGGATACAAACGCACCACAAGAAATCTCTATCTACATCTGCCATAATGACAAACCTGAAATAATTTCAAACCTACTTCATTCACCCTGAACACATGACCAAGTTATATGTGGTTTATCAACTAAATCGTTTTACTTATCCTATCTTGCATAAACGAATAACTACGACAGCTAGTTTGAGACTTGAAACACCAAATGATGACTTGTGTATCATTGAGCATAAGTTCAAAGATAAACAATATGTTTGGATGATTATACAAATTCACACGAGAGAAATCCAGTGTGTTTAGTTGTTTTGTGTTTACAACTCATTCCATATCTTACAAATGGTAATATCAACAAACGTAGTTGACAGTAGAATGCACCGGTATCACGTGTATCCACGTCTACATATTTCTGAATTATTCATAACATGGACAGATACCTTTTAATGTTATATTATTCTCATCATTTATCGGTTGAGTAATAGCCTATAATCCAACCGGATCTAAAATGATCTAGTTATAAACATCAACAATGTTATGAAATCAGTGAAATTATAGAAACTGGATATCTTATGCATATTGACATCTCAAAACACAACGTCAAAACTCATCTGTTCAAGTCAACCTTCAAACATTCTTTCATTTCGATCACCGTTATCAAACTAACATGAAATTATTGTTTTACTATTCAATAAACAAAACTAAACTAAATTCAGTAGATGGCTGAATTCGAAATATCATGAATATAATTTTAAAACTGTATTCAACTGACGGTGATAACGATGAAGATAGTGTTCATTGTGGATGAAGAATGTAGTTTCTTAATAAATATGATTATTAATCCAAGAACTAATCCGATCAATCTGAAATACAAAAAAAGAAAGAAAACTACATGTTAAACTCACAGATACAATAAACCATAGTAATATGTATCTAATGTTCCACACAATCTGTATGCATGAAATGGTTAATCAAGTTCCCCGACTCCTCAGTTCAACATTTTCAAAAGTTTGTGGAACTTGTCAAAATAGTCGATGAGTGGAATACGTAATGAGTGATTGTCTTGAATATCTCATTTCATGCATTTCAGTATGATTATTTATTAGGATGTGATGTAACACAAACAATGATGCTTCGGACTGGAAAGAAATCAACTAATCCTGTGAAACTGGATCAACAGTCTTATCTCAGTGTATTATTCAGTTCACTGAATAATATTAAACAAAAGAATGTCGTTATTATTTTCGAGAAATACCTGAATTTTAAGCACAAATTACTTACGTTAAGATGAAACCATTGACAACAGCAAGATACCTGAACATATTTAAGCTGAATCTGTCAAACTGGATGAAAAATGTCTTACATGCAAATAGAATTATTCTGACCGGTTACCGATGACACATCATCAAATGCCAATTTCATCATCGTTTTATTATCTGCAATGGAGATTTGTGAACAATTCACCTTTGAAAATTCACCATCCACACACACCAATTCCTATTTTAACTGAAATAAGTAAGAAGTCAAAATACAGTTATTGAGATATTCATTATCACGGATTATAATAAAGCTTAAATATGCATTCACACTTCTATTTCTTTCCCTGTTCATTGTATTTCAACAAGTATGGATTCATGTACAGAATTTGAATTTCATCTGACTAGTTAGCCGTATCATCTTTACGATAATAATAACAAAGATTGCAGTCGATGATAACTGATCTCATTAGATTCACGTTAGCTGCTCACTGCAAGCGTTGTTCTATGGTCATCAACGTTAGTGCACTCACTCTATTGAAGATAATTAACATTGACCGATTCATTCATTCCAATAAATAACACTCAATAGAAGTATGTTGCTTCTTACGTTAAGCTATTTATTCCACTTTGACATATTTGTACTTAAAAGGTGGATGTAGTGCATTCGAAGCAATGATTGGCCTCCATATTCTATGGAAGACACCTTGTTGACTGACTTGATTATGCCGACATGTGCACTAGGGTGAGGATTTCTATCTCTCCATAGCCCACTGAAATGTGACAAGTTTATTTGTTTCGATAAACGACAGTCTGTTTTAATGGTCTCTCTTATCTATTAGTTTCTCTTCATCTTCCTATGAGATATCTATATCGAGGAAAGCTGTTCAACTGAGATTTAATATGGATAGGCTGCATGCTTAACGCGTCGTTCAACACCAACATTGACAATTGGTTGAGTCCTGCATATTACCTACTATTCATCACTGTTCTCCGTTATTCTTACCGAAGATTTTCAGCAGAGATTCTGTCGTTTTGTGGAGAGTGCTGGAAGCAGTGATTGGGGTGTGTGGTGAGTCTTTTTAGATCAATGCAAACATGATTTTCTTAGTAAGCATGGATAGTGGCTAGCAGTGAAGTGTAGTACACGCGTTCCGTCCGTTGCCTGCCACAATCCATCTATGGGAATAAAGTTTGTGACTTAAGGCAATATCGAGGCAGTCCACACAGGATGCACATATTCCAACAAGAAACTAATCAATTGCAGTCAAACACAACAGTGGAAAGCTACAAACAAACAATAACAAATTCATTGCAAACACGTTTGTGGATAGACACTGAAAATCTTACAAACTGCTGACAAGTGATTTCCTTCCAGATATTAAACATCCATTTCATTTACATCTTCCATCTTCTACATATTCTAGTAGAACAAGGCATCAATACATACGAATCTATGAGAACCTCTCTCGTGTTTGTAGAAGAAGCTTGTTGGAATCATTTGTGCAGAGTTCAATACTGTAATTAAAATATAACATAGAACGCCACCATTGTTATCGCTTTTTATTATACGACTTATCAACACATCTAAACTCAACCTTAATACATACTATTCGACAGAAATTGACAAACTCACATGGAATGATTTTGATGTTCAGTAAGAAGGACTCAATAAAATTGAACAAATTTATAACGGATTTCACCAATCGCTTCGAGTCATCTTTATTAACTTATGAGTGGTTACATTTTTCATTGAACTTTGGTTATGCTGACTTTGTGCAAAACAACGGAATGTGTGATTCGGTTGGAAATAACACAAACTGATTTAACTGTTAGTTGATTGGGGATGAATGAGTGATAGCACATTGAAATGAAAATGATCTTGTTGTACTTATGTGTTTAATAGCAGAATGACTTCTCCACAGATTATTGACGTCAGACGAAGCACCGTCAGAACATTATTGATGTCCGCTAAACTATTCGTTCTTTGTATGTAGGCGGAACAATTGTACATACGATCGCTGTATATGAACGTTTGAATTTTTCTGCATGTTACAACTTGACTTATTTGATTGATGATGTGCTTGATTACTCACGAAAACAGTTCATTTATTAGATCACTCTTAACAGAGTGGTTGAAAGCTGAGTGATGTCACTTAATCAAACTGATAGTTCACATGGCATGGTACAGAAGTAATCACTGCAGATGATCGTGCACTACGAATTCGTAAGAGAACATGCACTCATCAACGTAGAAATGAATACGTCAGTACAAATTTATTAGAAAACTATGTGATTGAACAAAACAAGTGAGATAGTTTTCTTAATAACTAACCTGTTCTATGATGTCATTCACTAATTCAACCATTTCTAATGACAAAATCAATATTCTATCTAACGAATGAATAGTCAGCTTAAGTTAATTCAGCTTAAGAACTGGACGTGGAAGTTAACCACTTGTTAAGTATTCCCTCATGAATTATGTAGCATTTCAAATAATGAGGTTCATTCTGTTGAGTACAAAAACAAAACAGTTTTCAGCTAGACTTTAACATGACGTGAAATCCATCAGAGATGAAGTTTCGTACTGAAGAATAATTTTACACTTGATAAACCTTCATCTTGTCAAATTTAATATGCACCATGTTTGTTTATTACATGTGAGAATCACGGGAGGTGATGTACAGCATAGAAAGTTTACTCCATACCCTATGAATACTTCAAATGAACACATACAATTCATGTCACTCAGACAATCAACATGTTTTGGACAATCAGTACTGTAAGAGAATTGCCATCAACTGATATGATAATATCACAACTACGTCGAATGGAATATTCAGTAGACCTTAAGTAACTGTAGCGAAATGTGAACTCAATTTATCCTAGACGTTTCCGATGTCATGTGTTATATAAACGTGTTTCGTTTTAATGAATAATAATATATTTTTATGTTGTAAGCAGATCACAGAGAACCCATGAAATTCAAGTTCATTTGCTGTGACACTTCTCCTTTCTCCATTCAAGTGTTTACAAAAGAGAAAAGTTGTGCGAAATAAAAGTAACAATAAATTCAAATGGTACTGTTTACTTGTATCTTCCAATTGATGTTAAGGATTGCTATCGGTCACTCTCTTATTAGCATGTATGGATATTGTGCTTATTGTCTCACTGTTATGTTCAGTAACTAGCATTGTAAGTAGAGATGGATGGTGGCTAACAGTGGAATCGAAACCACTTCATTCTATGTGGGACTCGTCAGCTGTATATATCTGCATCTCAGAGTTGATGTTCACTATTGAACTTGAACCCAGTACCGTTCTCTTTGAAAACCATCGCGATATTCATTAAGCTACTGAGTCCTGATGGCCACTTGCTTGTATCGTTTTTACAAATACACCCAACATAAAATAAATGCTTATTATTTTTAAACTGAAATAGACGCAATGTTAGCTAGTTAATTCCGTTGACTATATACATATTTCATGTTGGATATTTGGATAGAAAAGACTCCTTTGAAGTTCAAATAACAAATAGAAAACTATTTGTCTTCCTTTGATCAATGACAACTAATTGAAAAACATCAGACAGATTAGGTAGCGGATCGTAAAACATACTAATCGGTAGTAAGATGTCAAGTGTATTAGTAGTGATAAGAGTAAAAACATGGTTTCAGATGAACAAGCGCTTTAACAGTGGAGAGTAGACGAAAAATTAAAATCGCTTGACACAAACTGTGTATATATGTTAATAATTAGCTTGAACATAAACGTCTTTCTTAACAAAGGAAGGGATAGGTACATTACAAACGTTTGTTGGATAATAAGACTAGCAGGTTACTGGCCCGAATATCTACATCCTTCACACTTGATGGAGAAGCTCTGGAAGATGTGGGAAGTTTCACGTACCTAAACACTAGCATCGATGAACCGGCAACATCTAATGGAGGTGTGAAGGTGCAAATTGACAAATCTAGGATGAAGATGCTACAACTGAGGAACATTTGGAATTCAAAACAATTGTCAACCAACATCGAAATTCAGAATCTTCAATTCAAACGTCAATACTGTTTTGTTGTATGAAGCTGAATTTTCGAGAACTACCACAACCATCGTCAAATTGATACGGGTATCTATAAACAGTTGTCTATTCAAGATACACAATCTCCGTTGGTCCTATACAATAACGAACAACCTATTATAACAGAGTATAATACAGTGAAATAAATTTGGAAAGGGAAATGAAGGGACATGAAGAATTCAGAAGATTAGAATTTGGGAGAACACAGAGAGTGGATGCACCTGCGCCATTGCAAACGATTTTGAGCCATGTCATTCAGGGTCTCTAACCATCGGTTGCTATCATCTCGCGGTCCCCAACCAGGTAGTCTACACCTACCAACATGACTCAGTCACTTGTCAGTGACTTCATGGACTTGTGCCATGTTTTGGTTTGGCCGCCCCTAGCTTTCTTCCAACCTACTCCTATACCACTGAACATAGCACGTCGAGGCAGTCGGTCGTTGGGCATACGTAACACGTGTCCCAGCCATCTCAACTGATGAAGTTTCACTACTTCATCAATTGATTTGCCATCCTTACCTAGTACCCGTTTCCTAACAACTGTTACTTACTCGATGGTCCCATGATATACGAGCAATATTTCGAAGACACCTATGATCAAATACTAGTAACCTACGAATATCCTCTACTCTTACCGGCCATGTTTCACTGCCATAAAGTAGGACGGAACGAACTGCTGCGCAGTAAACACGTCCTTTGGTTGATAGACGGATATCTCGCCTACGCCATAAATGACGCAAGTTGGCAAAAGCTAGTCGAGCCTTCTGTATCCGTGCTGAGATTTCGTCACACACCAAACCACAAGGGCTGATGAGACTTCCAAGATAAGTGAAGCGGTCGACACACTCAACTACTTCACTCCCTATCACTAGTTCGGGTGTCGATGTAACCCAATCCTGAAGCAACATTTTGCATTTCGAGGGAGAGAATCGCATCCCGAACATGCTTGCATTGTTGCTTAGAGTGGTCAGAAGACTCTGCATTTTGTCAGCGTCTTCACCAAATAAAACTATGTCATCAGCATATTCTAAGTCAACAAGTGAACCTCCCGGTAGAAGTTCAACCCCTGGAAATTTAGATGAGGAGAGTGTTATCTCTAAAAGTACGTCGACCACAAAGTTGAACAAGAATGGGGAGAGTGGACAGCCCTGACGAACACCACTTGAGGTAATCAATTCTGATGACAGTTCGCCATAAGCTCTCACTCGACCAGTTGTGTTCGAGTAGAGAGCCTTTATAAGGTTAATGTACTTCTTTGGTACTCCTTTCAGTGAC